CACGTGTAAATCCCCTACCCCCACTCTTCCTATATGGCACTCCACTCCAATGATGCCCGTTCCTCTGGCAAATTCCTAGGCGGTCCATTTTTTGACTTCCAAACTGACCTGGCGAGACCATATCTACACATTAAAGAAAGCTCTCCGCCGCCTTCGAATTTAAAACTCATCCCGATATTCATGGGGTCTCAGATCGCAAAACTCTCCTTCATCTTCATGTTGCTTTGATTCCTCTCCACTCTTGATTTATGATGCCATATCTACTCTCTTCCTCAACTTCTCTCCTTGCCATCTTGCACAATCCATCACTGTGGTCTTCGCTTAGCACTAGGCGCCTTCCGCTCCTCTCCAGTTGAGAGCCTGTTACTGAAAGCAGGCCATAACCATCTTCTATCTAGACGTCGTCCTGATCTCACATCCGATGTGATGTTAGTTTGCAAATAAAATCCACCACTTCCCCTTCACTAAACTAACTATCCCACATCCCTACTTCCTACCCTTAGCTTTCATCATCCCACGCTTACCTACTCCTTTTCTCCACTCGCATGGATACCCCTCCTCTCCCATTCCCCTTTCCCCCATCTCCAACCTCTCCCGTTCTCTGTCCATTCCGTCCCTCCATGGCGTATACTCACCCCCATATTTGCTCTTCTGTTTTCCCCGACCCACCAAATCAACTATTCCTCCATACTGTCCTTCTCATCCATTTCCTTGACCATTGTCTCCACCCATTCCTCTAGTATACGCACGTATATACTGATGGCTCCAATCCACCTCTGGTGCTGGTTTTGCAGTATATTTCCCAACTCGTACTTTGCAAATCTCCCTTCCTCCTGAATCCAGTGTCCTTACTACTGAACTGTATGCCCTCCTTTTTGCCACTAAAACACATATACCCTCTCACTCTTCCTCTTTACAATTTTTTTTACTGACTCCCCGTAGCTCATTAAACTCTCATAAAGTCAATACCACACCAATCACCCTTGTTTGTAAGATCCAGACTGGGTGTTCTATCCTTCCCACGCCACAAACAATCAAATTTTGCTGGGTGGCCCAGCCATGTTGGAATCCCCTCGGCAATGAACAGCCAGATACACTAGCCCGCCACGCCTGCTATGTTCCCATCATCCCCACGCTTCTCACGTATCCCAGCCACGGATTATTACCCGACACTTTAGACCTTCTTGTATAAACGATGGCAATCTTTCTGGTCAAGAAGCCTCCACACTATAAATTACACTTCTGTAAACTATCAATCTCCCTCCTGGTCAGCTCCATTTCATCGGAACAACTTGGGAGACTGCTCTCTTCACCCGCTTACGCATGGGCAACACCCGGTCTACACACTCCTATCCATGAATGTCACAATCTGATCCACCCCTTGTTCCTTATCATCACCTTCATAAAATAACTGCCTAAGTCATTTTTTGGCGATTTCTTGATTTTGCCTAAGTCAGTTCTTCTTGATGTGGTGCACCTATTGATATTCTTGCTTAAATAATTTGTTGGGTATGAGTGGTTTAAAATTCATTGTAAACATGTAGCCTAAATCACAAGGTGACTTAGGCATTATTCCCAGCATTGCCTAAGTCAGACAATGTGACTTGGGCAAATAGACCTTACTGCCTAAATCAAACAATGTGATTTAGGCAGTATGACCTTGTACTGCATTTTCTAAAGTATCTCATTCTTTGATCTATTTTCTTTCTTTTCGGCATTGTAACGTTTTCTGTAATCACTCAGTTGTAAACATCAGCCACATGGTGAATGGATAGCCATCTGAACGTCAGTGCACAGAAGTCCTCAATTTCAGGTGTGTTTTTCGTCTATCATGAAAGATAATGTACAGAAAGACTACAGTTGTGTATAATGTGCAAATTAGAGAAAACAGTGAAGGAAAGAGGGTAGAGGATAACACACATTATGAAGGAAATGAGCGGGGGAAGTGGTTCTCATTAACTTTGTACTGATGCCTGTAGGGTGTGGGACATCTTTTGTAGTTTCTGAACGAATGAATTGTTGTGCAGTTGCTTATTTATTATAGTTTTGGATTTCGTCCTTTCACAGATAATATAATTGTGAGTGGCAGGCCTAATCTATTGACAATAATATGAGCCAGTCAGAGCTGCATGCTGACAGTAAAACACCAGACAGCAGCTCAGAGATGGATGTTGAACCTGAAGCATCCGGGATGTCAGTTGCATTCATTGATCCAGATATGGATGCTGATGATGACTCAGATCGTGATCCACACTATCAGCCAGATGGTGATGATCCATCAAGCTCCGAAACTGAAGTAGCTGAAGATGATGCATTGGTATACAGGGGTGTGGAACAACGTGAGAATGCTGACACTGGTGAAAATGCATTAAAAAAGCTTATGCATTACAATATAATATTATTTGCTTTTTCATCCAGATGAACAAAACTAAACGGCACAAACGGTCAGATCCAGAGAAATGGCAGCAAAATATTTACAAGAAGAAACGGCTGACGGGGGTACAGCGTACAGGGAAAACTGGTAAAGATATCCCTGCTGCAAAGATGGGTCCTCCATGCCAATCTAAATTTTGCCAGAAAGCCAAAGCCCATTACTGCCAATTCATAACTGAGGAGGCAGCGACGGCACATCTTCCACAAATTTTGGTCCATAACTTCTTGGGAAGCACGCCAAATATACATTCGAACCTTAATCTCAAAGGTACAAAATTATTTCAATTTGTTTCCATACAATCTCAAATATTAAATATCTGTGTCACATGCACAGTTCACTGCACATTTCATTGCACAAGACATAATGTGTACAAAATTAGTTGCACACGATTGGTGTGGAAAACATTCACTAAAGTAAACTAATTAACAAATATGTCATTTTCCAGAAAGAAATAAAGCAGAAGAAAAAGATACAGGGATCAAGACGTCAAGCATCCTATGCTTACAATCTACAACTTCAAGATGGATCAATTCATCAAGTCTGCAAGCCACTCTTTGCTTCTACCTTCGGTGTCCCCGAAAGAACTCTTATGTCATGGATAACAGATCGTGGTGATAGTTCGTCAGCAGCCTCATCAAGCGATAGTCTGTCAGCAGCTAAAACACCATCCAAACCTGGTCCCAAAAGTGGTATGTACACGTCATCTGTTTTCAACAGTTTTCAAATTTCATTACTCGTATAACTGAGGACAGTGTGTCGACTTTCTTTTAAATTATCATGATGCTATAATTCTCTTGTCTTTTCAGAAAGTGTGCAAAAGTGACTGATCAGTAATGAAATTTCTCAGAGCTGGTTGAAGGGGCCGGCCGACTGTGGACTCGCATTATTGGCAGGAGCCCCACCAACGAACAAGGATGAAACATTCTTATCCTGGACCTTCAATTGCGAACCTTCATCGGGAATACAAAGAGGATGCTGAGAAAGGTGAGCTAGAGCAGTGGAAATTTCTTACTTCACTGATAAATTCCATGAGGAAAACTTATTCTGTCTTCATTCCCCCGGAAAGAATCGGTACGTATTGAACCTTCAAATATGGCAACATCAGTAAGGATGAGTACGACAACACCTTGAACTCAAGGATGAAGCTCGAAAAGAGAAGCACTTGATAAAGAAGCTGCCAGTGCGAAGTAGTCTGTTTGGACTATGATCAGCAGGCTTTGCTGTTTGTGTCCGAAAACATGGCATCTACCATGTACTACAAAACAAAGCTTCAGCTACATAACTTCACTCTATTTAATCTGATTCCGTACCAGAAACAAGGTTACTGCTCATCTGGAATAAACCGAAGGTGAACTTGAAAATGAAGTTTTTCATATCTGCAGTACATCACTTGTAACTATCATCTTAGAGAACCCTAATTTGCAAGAGCTTGGTGATCTGGATGAAGGATGTGGCTACCAGAACAGAAACGTGGAAATTGCAATGCATATTCTGCTCTTGCAAGAAAATATGCATCAGGATCATTCAGAAGTTCCTTGTCGCCCACACACAAATGAAGTGTGACTCACATGCATAGCACTAATGAACGAACAATGTGAATGGATGTCTTCACAGAGTCGAGATTTTGCCTATCTCATCCAGTGTGCTAGGATCAGACCAATCCCCAATACAGATCAAACAGATGAAGCACCAAGATTTCATGAAAGATGGAGAATTTATTCTTCACCAGCATCAGGCCGGTAAAAATCAGGAGATCCAGTGAGTCATAGCTCTTGCTGGGGTTATGTACCTAAGTGATGGAACAGAGTGAAATTCAGGTTGTCCATTCAACACCACTCAACTTGGGAGCGTCTGCCACACCGGATTCAAAAACGTGAAACGGAAATGGTCCCCACTCTATTCGTCAAGACGGCCTATTAATATACGGAAATTCAACGACTTTCAGTCCATGCAAGACAGTTATGCGCAGCTGACTGCTATAATTTGTTGGTTGGAGACCTCCTCACAGTAAGGATTAATTAACAGGATTTAGTTAAGTCTGTCCATAATTGTGAACAGAATGCAGGAAGCAATGTTTGAGAATCTTTTAATTTCTCCCTGTCTTTTCTGTAGTTTATTTTTTTGGAAAGGTCGAATTTCTTTTTAGAAGGCCATTTGTTACTATAAGTCAGTAATTGTGAACTGAGTAAAGGAAACAAGTTTTTGAGAAGTATCAGTAATTTCTCCATAATCACTTGCATAAGTTTATTTTTCAGAATGTACTATACAACATACATCATAATTGTGAACAGATGCAGGGAAACAGTGTTTTGAAGTGTTGGGGGGGGGCGGTGTAATGATTGCTCCATGTGTTTTCTTTTGGTTTATTTTTCGAAGGTCTGAATGGCTTTTTATGAAGGCAAAATACTCTTTTTTTCAGTGTTTAAAGTATTTTATTGTGTTTAATAAATTTATGGTGCTTGATAAACCACAATTATGAAAAGCGCTATGAAGTAATGTTTTTGAAAAGAATTCATTACTAAATTTTTGTCACTTTTCCCTTAGTTTCTTCTGCAAAAGGTCTGAATTAAAACCTTTTTTCAGAAGTCTACATATTTTTTTTGACTGTTTTGAACGTATTTTTGGCTTTACCATTTTGCCTAAGTCATATGTATACAATACCAATAAAATTGCCTAAGACAGTTTACTTTGCTTTATATTAATGAATAACACTTTATGCATGATAAAAGCATATCACAGTATATTGTACATCTATCAAGAAGTTTTAAAAATGATAAACACTGCACTGATATCAAAATTAAGAAAATGAGAAAGTTTTTTTCGATTTCCCAAAATGTTAAAGAATGACTTAGAGCAATTATTTTCATGAAGGTGAACGTTATGTAAGTTCCCCTTTCAATCGTACACAGCCTATTGTCGTGCCCACTTTTTTGAAGCGCCCGTACCTCTGCTTTCTGTCCTCCCCACCTATCCCCCGTCAACCGACCTCCCAACCTACAGACTTCCTTACAGAATCCCACACTTTCTGCATCACAACCTGTTCTCTTTCCTCAAACGCATACAATATCCTTTATCTAATCTAACAACCCGACCTTAACCCTTAACACACCATTCTTGCCCCGCGTAGACAACTAACCACTAACTCAACACCTTTCCTAACATTAACTATAGAGCAAGAGTGGGGGGGGGTAGGGGGAAACATGACCTTAGATGTCTAGCAACATTTATCGGGCGTTAACCATTAACCTGTACAGTGGCAGATTTGAAAAGAAAATACATAAGTTTTAAATACTCTTTTTAACCGAGAGCGAAAAAAAATAAAACAGTGTAGTGGGGCCACTCCTAAGATGTCTAACATGGTTTGCATATGAATATTGCATTCTAACGTCCATTATAAGGAGTCTAGAGGCAGCCGAACCAGATTTTTGGAGGAAGCAATCCCAAAGAGTGGAAACAATGAATTGAGTATGGAAACACCACGGCTCCTCTCTAGCTTTTTGATTTTGCTTTTTTAATTAGGTACAGCAAATATAAATAACATCCTATGACATAGGTATGTAAATAAAAAAGTGCCACACATCAACTAACTGAGATGAAACTACGTTCATACTTTATTATTATTGTACAACATGTCCTGATATTAGTTTATGACCTCATATTGCCAAGACACCGCCCCTGTTGAGAAAACAAAATAGCTACAAAATTCGTCACGGATAATTATGTACGTTAGCTGAAGCTCTTCGAGGATGCCATCAAATCCAACAAACGAGTCCCTTTCATTAATGTCTCTTCTCCACGAGCCTTCTATCACATTAACCATCTGCATCGTCATAGAGTCTAATGTTCCAGGGAGGCGTGTAGTTCTGTCTGAACAGAATTCTTGCGGAAATAGTTTGTGTAAATATACGCACGTTAACACCACACATACACTTTACATGGCTGTAAAGCCATTGGTTTTAGAAACCCCTGAATTTAAGATGACATTATTCCAAATACATTTTCCTATAATTCTTCGAGCTCTACTCAGTCTGTAATTGAACACTCTTTTAGGAATATCTAATGCACAACCAGGGTATGATACAGTAAGTACGTGGACATAGCAAAAGCATCATCTCCACTAAATGTATGGTACCGGCTCGTTCGACCTGGCAATGCCTCACATTTAGGTTTTTGTAACAGGGCCGACTTGTTTCCTAGTTATTGTACAATAGGTGTACTTGAAACACCCCCGTCAGAAAGCCGGCCTTTACGGTCCAACATCAGCGTACAAAAAGTTGTAGTTGGCAACCTGCAACACACCAAGCAATACTATACTGAATGCCTTATGTAGTTATAATACAAGCTGCCCAACGGTCAGGGTGCGACCATTTGCACATGCATGCCATCAATGGCTCCCTAGGCAGTGGGAAAAAATCCATCCCGTCTCAAGCATCCATGAACAACAGATCTCCATTCAAGCTTCGGAAGATGGTTCCTGCAAGAAAATTTTGTTTATAGAAATATTTGACAAGCAAAAATGTAAATTTAAATACTATGAATCTCATTGACAAATGTTGTACCCGAAATATGTAGCTGGGGATTTATTGTTAATGAAGAGGATTTAACATTGAAGGACAATATAGTTCATATTGTTAAATTCGAGGACTCCTACGTCGACTTTCGAAACAAATGTAACAATTATTCCGGTTTCAGGACACCTCACAGACTGCAACACTGAGGACCAATAGCCACTGAGGACCAAGCAGACACTTCTATTAACGAAATTGCATAACAAGAGACCATGCCAATCATTCCAACACACCAAGAAATCCTCCTAAATCGTGCGTGCCCGAAGAGTGAAGACTCCCCTGTCAATGAAGCGGTTAACTGCCTGAAATCTCTCACACAGATTGTTTCTGGGAAAAGATGAGAATCCAGCATGCGGGGATGTCGTCGCAAATAAAATGAAACCTTGTAGAAAGCCCCGGGTGGAGAGTTTCCTTTAGCTCAGCGTTAGATTAATGAAATATTTTTCGATTGGACATGGGACTGCTATCGCTGATATTCAATCTAGGTAAAAGTCCACATACATATCCCACCCAACTCTATTCCATCACATACCCCCTTGCCACACTCTCCACATTTCATGGTCATTCCTCCCTATTCAACCTTGTTCCATCCAATTTCCTACATTTCTGCATCACCTGTCGTCCCAACCTCAACTATCACATTTCCAGTGGCATTATCACTCCTATTCAACCTTGCTCACCAATTCCTACAGTTTCTGCATCACCTGTTCCACCTCAACAATCACAGTCACTACTGGAACACGCAATACGCCCTTCGAGTTCTGGAATTGTATATGACAATAACAAAAGTTTAATAGGTATACTAAACTAATAACAGAAAAATATCATTTTCCGTTATGATGATCAATGTTAGCAAAGAAGTCTGTGGTTTTTTTTTCAAAAAACTCAGGAATGTACTGTATTTTTATCATGCAGTTGATATTTAAAGAATTTTCACATTTGATTTCTTATTTTCATGTGTTTATCAAGTTTTAGGATATATTTCCCATATATTTTTTTTTATTATGTGATTATTAGCGAGACATTTTTTCTTACTGCACACAACAAGGAACTGAATATCGTACTTTGCTTGAAAGCCAGCACTAATAAAATTTAAAGTCAAAATTCGTTGTATATACATACCTTCCACATATGTTTCAGTGCTGAAATAATTTGCCTCACAAACTTCTGGGACTATTCGTGATATGCCTGCTTCGAAATATTCGAAGGTGTACATGAGAGCTCGTGTACGAGTCTACCACTTGCCAGGAATCGC